CTTAAGACCAACCACCCCACCTTAACATTTAGAGCAGTCTTAAGACTTCAGCCTCCCCGCCTTAACATCTATAGCATTCTCAAGACTTCAGTTAAGACTTCAACCACCCCACCTTAACATATATAGCAGTCTTAAGACTTCAGCCTCCCCACCTTAACATATATAGCAGTCTTAAGACTTCAATCACCCCACCTTAACATCTATAGCAGTCTTAAGACTTCAACCACCCCACCTTAACATCTATAGCAGTCTTAAGACTTCAACCACCCCACCTTAACATCTATAGCAGTCTCAAGACTTCAGCCTTCCCACCTTAACATCTATAGCAGTCTGAAGACTTCAACCACCCCACCTTAACATATATAGCAGTCTTAAGACTTCAGCCTCCCCACCTTAACATATATAGCAGTCTTAAGACTTCAACCACCCCACCTTAACATATATAGCAGTCTTAAGACTTCAACCACCCCACCTTAACATCTATAGCAGTCTTAAGACTTCAGCCTCCCCGCCTTAACATCTATAGCAGTCTTAAGACTTCAACCACCCCACCTTAACATTTATAGCAGTCTTAAGACTTCAACCACCCCACCTTAACATCTAGAGCAGTCTTAAGACTTCAGCCTCCCCGCCTTAACATCTATAGCAGTCTCAAGACTTCAGCCTCCCCATCTTAACATCTATAGCAGTCTTAAGACTTCAACCACCCCACCTTGACATCTATAGCAGTCCTAAGACTTCAACCACCCCACCTTAACATCTATAGCAGTCTCAAGACTTCAACCACCCCACCTTAACATCTACAGCAGTCTTAAGACTTCAACCACCCCACCTTAACATATATAGCAGTCTTAAGACTTCAGCCTCCCCACCTTAACATATATAGCAGTCTTAAGACTTCAACCACCCCACCTTAACATCTATAGCAGTCTTAAGACTTCAACCACCCCACCTTAACATCTAAAGCAGTCTTAAGACCAACCACCCCACCTTAACATTTAGAGCAGTCTTAAGACTTCAGCCTCCCCGCCTTAACATCTATAGCAGTCTCAAGACTTCAGCCTCCCCATCTTAACATCTATAGCAGTCCTAAGACTTCAACCACCCCACCTTAACATCAATAGCAGTCTTAAGACTTCAACCACCCCACCTTAACATTTATAGCAGTCTTAAGACTTCAACCACCCCACCTTAACATCTACAGCAGTCTTAAGACTTCAACCACCCCACCTTAACATCTATAGCAGTCTTAAGACTTCAGCCTCCCCACCTTAACATATATAGCAGTCTTAAGACTTCAATCACCCCACCTTAACATCTATAGCAGTCTTAAGACTTCAACCACCCCACCTTAACATCTATAGCAGTCTTAAGACTTCAACCACCCCACCTTAACATCTATAGCAGTCTCAAGACTTCAGCCTTCCCACCTTAACATCTATAGCAGTCTGAAGACTTCAACCACCCCACCTTAACATATATAGCAGTCTTAAGACTTCAGCCTCCCCACCTTAACATATATAGCAGTCTTAAGACTTCAACCACCCCACCTTAACATCTATAGCAGTCTTAAGACTTCAACCACCCCACCTTAACATCTATAGCAGTCTTAAGACTTCAACCACCCCACCTTAACATCTATAGCAGTCTTAAGACTTCAACCACCCCACCTTAACATCTATAGCAGTCTTAAGACTTCAACCACCCCACCTTAACATCTACAGCAGTCTTAAGACTTCAACCACCCCACCTTAACATATATAGCAGTCTTAAGACTTCAGCCTCCCCACCTTAACATCTATAGCAGTCTTAAGACTTCAACCACCCCACCTTAACATCTATAGCAGTCTTAAGACTTCAACCACCCCACCTTAACATCTAAAGCAGTCTTAAGACCAACCACCCCACCTTAACATTTAGAGCAGTCTTAAGACTTCAGCCTCCCCACCTTAACATATATAGCAGTCTTAAGACTTCAACCACCCCACCTTAACATCTATAGCAGTCTTAAGACTTCAACCACCCCACCTTAACATCTATAGCAGTCTTAAGACTTCAGCCTCCCCACCTTAACATCTATAGCAGTCTTAAGACTTCAACCACCCCACCTTAACATCTATAGCAGTCTTAAGACTTCAACCACCCCACCTTAACATCTATAGCAGTCTTAAGACTTCAACCTCCCCACCTTAACATCTATAGCAGTCTCAAGACTTCAGCCTCCCCACCTTAACATCTATAGCAGTCTTAAGACTTCAACCACCCCACCTTAACATCTATAGCAGTCTTAAGACTTCAACCACCCCACCTTAACATCTATAGCAGTCTTAAGACTTCAACCACCCCACCTTAACATCTATAGCAGTCTTAAGACTTCAACCACCCCACCTTAACATATATAGCAGTCTTAAGACTTCAGCCTCCCCACCTTAACATCTAAAGCAGTCTTAAGACTTCAACCACCTTAACCTTAACATCTATAGCAGTCTTAAGACTTCAACCACCCCCCCACCTTAACATCTATAGCAGTCTTAAGATTTCAACCACCCCACCTTAACATATATAGCAGTCTTAAGACTTCAGCCTCCCCACCTTAACATCTAAAGCAGTCTTAAGACTTCAGCCTCTCCATCTTAACATCTATAACAGTCTTAGGACTTCAACCACCCCACCTTAACATCTATAGCAGTCTTAAGACTTCAACCACCCCACCTTAACATCTATAGCAGTCTTAAGACTTCAACCTCCCCACCTTAACATCTATAGCAGTCTTAAGACTTCAACCACCCCACCTTAACATCTATAGCAGTCTTAAGACTTCAACCACCCCCACTTAACATCTATAGCAGTCTTAAGACTTCAACCACCCCACCTTAACATATATAGCAGTCTAAAGACTTCAACCACCCCACCTTAACATCTATAGTAGTCTCAAGACTTCAACCACCCCACCTTAACATATATAGCAGTCTTAAGACTTCAGACCACCCCACCTTAACATCTATAGCAGTCTTAAGACTTCAACCACCCCACCTTAACATCTATAGCAGTCTTAAGACTTCAACTCACCCCACCTTAACATCTATAGCAGTCTAAAGACTTCAGTCCTCCCCACCTTAACATCTATAGCAGTCTTAAGACTTCAACCTCCCCAAACCACCCCACCTTAACTTAACATCTATACCTTAACAGTCTTAAGACTTCAACCACCCCACCTTAACATCTATAGCAGTCTTAAGACTTCAACCACCACCTTAACATCTATAGCAGTCTTAAGACTTCAACCACCCCACCTTAACATCTATAGCAGTCCTTAAGACTTCAACCACCCCACCTTAACATCTATAGCAGTCTTAAGACTTCAACCCTCCCCACCTTAACATCTATAGCAGTCTTAAGACTTCAACCACCCCACCTTAACATCTATAGCAGTCTTAAGACTTCAAGCCTCCCCACCTTAACATCTATAGCAGTCTCAAGACTTCAACCTCCCCACCTTAACATATATAGCAGTCTTAAGACTTCACCCCCCCCTTAACATCTATAGCAGTCTTAAGACTTCAAGCCTCACCCACCTTAACATATATAGCAGTCTTAAGACTTCAGCCTCCCCACCATCCCAGACTTAACATCTATAGCAGTCTTAAGACTTCAACCTCCCCACCTTAACATCTATAGCAGTCTCAAGACTTCACCACCCCACCTTAACATCTATAGCAGTCTTAAGACTTCAGCCTCCCCACCTTAACATCTATAGCAGTCTTAAGACTTCAACCTCCCCAACTTAGCAGTCATCTATAGCAGTCTTAAGAACATCTTCAGTCACCCCACCTCTTAATAGCATCTATAGCAGTCCCAAGACTTCAAACCACCACCCCAACTTATAGCATCTATAGCAGTCCCAAGACTTCAGACCAACCCCCCTTAACATCTATAGCAGTCTTAAGACTCAACCACCCCACCTTAACATCTATAGCAGTCTTAAGACTTCCCCACCCCAACTATAGCATCTAGAGCAGTCCCAAGACTTCAGCTTAGCAATCCCCTTCAGTCATCCCCAACTGAGCATCTATAGCAGTCTTAAGACTTCAGCCTCCCCAACTGAGCATCTATAGCAGTCCAAGACTTCAGTCTCCCCAACTGAGCATCTATAGCAGTCTCAAGACTTCAGTCTCCCCAACTGAGCATCTATAGCAGTCTTCAAGACTTCAGTCTCCCAGTCTCCCAACTGAGCATCTATAGCAGTCCCAAGACTTCAGTCTCCCCCAACTCTAGCATCCCAAGACTTCAGTCCCATCTATAGCTTCAAGACTTCAGTCTCCCCAACTGAGCATCTATAGCAGTCCCAAGACTTCAGTCTCCCCAACTGAGCATCTATAGCAGTCCTAAGACTTCAGTCTCCCCAACTGAGCATCTATAGCAGTCCCAAGACTTCAGTCTCCCCAACTGAGCATCTATAGCAGTCCCAAGACTTCAGTCTCCCCAACTGAGCATCTATAGCAGTCCCAAGACTTCAGTCTCCCCAACTGAGCATCTAAAGCAGTCCCAAGACTTCAGTCTCCCCAACTGAGCATCTATAGCAGTCCCAAGACTTCAGTCTCCCCAACTGAGCATCTATAGCAGTCCCAAGACTTCAGTCTCCCTAACTGAGCATCTATAGAAGTTCCAAGACTTCAGTCTCCGGAACTGAGCATCTATTGCAGTCCCAAGACTTCAGTCTCCCCAACTGAGCATCTATTGCAGTCCCAAGACTTCAGTCTCCCCAACTGAGCATCTATTGCAGTCCCAATACTTCAGTCTCCCCAACTGAGCATCTATAGCAGTCCCAAGACTTCAGTCTCCCCAACTGAGCATCTATTGCAGTGTTAAGACTTGACTTCAGCCTCCTCAACTTAACATCTATAGCAGTGTCAAGACTTTCACCTTCAAAAGCTGTTCTAGCCTGAATGACATAAAACACATAGTCAAAAATACAACAGCAAGAAAAAGGCTGAAAATACCTCTCTGTGACAAGAACTTGATGCACATTGCATGTCCCTTGGCAGCTGCATGATGTATTGGGTTTCCTCCATCACTGGCCAACACATTAAAATCAGCACCATATCCTGCCATTAGCATCAAGGCTTGCAGATGACCATTGAGGGCAGCCAAATGGCTGGCAGTGCACTTTTTCACATCCACTGTGTTGACAAGAGCCCCAGCTTCCAACAGGGCTGAAACTACCTTGATACCACCACTTGCAGCAGCAGCCATCAGAGGGGTGCGGCCAGATTTCTGAACAAATAAATACAATACAATGATTATGCTCATTTATTAAATGCAGGAGCCTGGGATGGAAAGGGGGGGGGGGGGGGGGGGGCTTGTTATGACACCCCCTCCTTTTTCGCCCACTCTTTAAAATATTTAATGGCTGACACTCCCACCACCCCTCACTGTATTTGGTGTTGGTGCCCCTGCTTATAGCTTCTAATATCTTTATAACTCTGACCTTTATGATAATTATTTCATATTACTACCAATCATCAATGTCACAATTGTGGTGTCAAGTACTAAGATTACCATTAATAGTCATTTACCTCTGACCAAATCAATGTCACCATCATGGAGTCAAGTAATGACATTACCACTGATCACTTCAATGTCACCATCATGGAGTCAAGTAATGACATTACCACTGATCACTTCAATATCACCATCATGGTGTCAAGTGATGACATTACCACTGATCACTTCAATGTCACCATCATGGAGTCAAGTAATGACATTAACACTGATCACTTCAATGTCACCATCATGGAGTCAAGTAATGACATTACCACTGATCACTTCAATGTCACCATCATGGAGTCAAGTAATGACATTACCACTGATCACTTCAATATCACCATCATGGTGTCAAGTGATAACATTACCACTGATCACTTCAATGTCACCATCATGGTGTCAAGTGATGAGATAACCACTGATCACTTCAATGTCACCATCATGGTGTCAGGTGATGACATTACCACTGATCACTTCAATGTCACCATCATGGAGTCAAGTGATGACATTACCACTGATCACTTCAATGTCACCATCATGGAGTCAAGTAATGACATTACCACTGATCACTTCAATGTCACCATCATGGAGTCAAGTAATGACATTACCACTGATCACTTCAATATCACCATCATGGTGTCAAGTGATGACATTACCACTGATCACTTCAATGTCACCATCATGGAGTCAAGTAATGACATTACCACTGATCACTTCAATGTCACCATCATGGAGTCAAGTAATGACATTACCACTGATCACTTCAATGTCACCATCATGGAGTCAAGTAATGACATTACCACTGATCACTTCAATATCACCATCATGGTGTCAAGTGATAACATTACCACTGATCACTTCAATGTCACCATCATGGTGTCAAGTGATGAGATTACCACTGATCACTTCAATGTCACCATCATGGTGTCAAGTGATGAGATTACCACTGATCACTTCAATGTCACCATCATGGTGTCAAGTGATGACATTACCACTGATCACTTCAATGTCACCATCATGGAGTCAAGTGATGACATTACCACTGACCACATCAATGTCACTATCATGGTGTCAAGTGATGACATTACCACTGATCACTTTAATGTCACCATCATGGTGTCAAGTGATGACATTACCACTGATCACTTCAATGTCACCATCATGGAGTCAAGTAATGACATTACCACTGATCACTTCAATGTCACCATCATGGAGTCAAGTGATGACATTACCACTGACCACATCAATGTCACTATCATGGTGTCAAGTGATGACATTACCACTGATAACACTAATGTCACTATCATGGTGTCAAGTGATGACATTACCACTGATCACTTCAATGTCACCATCATGGAGTCAAGTAATGACATTACCACTGATCACTTCAATGTCACCATCATGGAGTCAAGTAATGACATTACCACTGATCACTTCAATATCACCATCATGGTGTCAAGTGATAACATTACCACTGATCACTTCAATGTCACCATCATGGTGTCAAGTGATGAGATTACCACTGATCACTTCAATTTCACCATCATGGTGTCAAGTGATGACATTACCACTGATCACTTCAATGTCACCATCATGGAGTCAAGTGATGACATTACCACTGATCACTTCAATGTCACCATCATGGTGTCAAGTGATGACATTACCACTGATCACTTCAATGTCACCATCATGGTGTCAAGTGATAACATTACCACTGACCACATCAATGTCACCATCATAGAGTCAAGTGATGACATTACCACTGATTACACTAATGTCACTATCATGGTGTCAGGTGATGACATTACCACTGATCACATCAATGTCACTATCATGGTGTCAAGTAATGACATTACCACTGATCACTTCAATGTCACCATCATGGAGTCAAGTGATGACATTACCACTGACCACATCAATGTCACTATCATGGTGTCAAGTGATGACATTACCACTGATCACTTTAATGTCACTATCATGGTGTCAAGTGATGACATTACCACTGATCACTTTAATGTCACCATCATGGTGTCAAGTGATGACATTACCACTGATCACTTCAATGTCACCATCATGGAGTCAAGTAATGACATTACCACTGATCACTTCAATGTCACCATCATGGAGTCAAGTGATGACATTACCACTGACCACATCAATGTCACTATCATGGTGTCAAGTGATGACATTACCACTGATAACACTAATGTCACTATCATGGTGTCAAGTGATGACATTACCACTGATCACACTAATGTCACTATCATGGTGTCAAGTGATGACATTACTACTGATCAATTCAAAGTCCCTATCATGGTGTCAAGTAATGATATTACCACTGATCACTTTAATGTCACTATCATGGTGTCAAGTGATGACATTACCACTGATCACTTCAATGTCACTATCATGGTGTCAAGTGATGACATTACCACTGATCACTTCAATGTCACCATCATGGAGTCAAGTAATGACATTACCACTGATCACTTCAATGTCACCATCATGGAGTCAAGTGATGACATTACCACTGACCACATCAATGTCACTATCATGGTGTCAAGTGATGACATTACCACTGATAACACTAATGTCACTATCATGGTGTCAAGTGATGACATTACCACTGATAACACTAATGTCACTATCATGGTGTCAAGTGATGACATTACCACTGATCACACTAATGTCACTATCATGGTGTCAAGTGATGACATTACCACTGATCACACTAATGTCACTATCAGGATTTGACTACCAATGGTGGATGTGACTAGCAATAGGTCATTTGAGTATCAATGGAAGATGTGACTAGCAATGGCATATGTGACTAGCAAAGGGGGATATAACTATCAATGGTTGCTGTGACTAGCAATGCTGGATGTGACTAGAAATGATGGATGTAACTAGCAATGTGATAAGCATTGGTGGATGCGATTAGAAATGATGGATGTAACTAGCAATGGGACTAGCAGTGGGAGATGTCTATCAATAATAGATGTGACTAGATGTGGTGAATGTGACTAGCAAGGATGGATGTGACTATTAATGGCAGATGTGACTAACATTGTGGATGTGACTAGCAATGGTGTATGCGACTATCAAAGGTTGATGTGACTAGCAAAAGTGGATGTAACTAGCAATGTATCTAGCAAAGGCAGACGTGAATAGCAATGTATATAGCAAAGGTGGATGTGACATGAAATGGTAGATGTAACTAGCGATGTGAAAACCAATGGGACTAGCAATGGGACAAGCAATGAGGAATATGTCTATTAATTTTATGTTATGTTATGTTATATAAATCGACGTCACTGCACATTGGGCATTCCCATGCGTGCTCAGTCCTCCGATGCAGCAGCCACTCCAAAGATGGTTATATTGTCGCCTATCTCGGCCTCAAAGACGGCAAAAACGTGCTTTACCATGCTTTATTACCATGTCACACAATAGTGTTAGTGTCAGGGATTCCTCATTATCCACTAGCCCAGATCTACAGTGTTGACGATATCTGCTCTGTCCATGCTTTTTACCACAATCCTTAGTGCAGTGCTTGTTAGTTGGTCTGCTCGCTCATTTCTCTTTACTCCCCCATGACCCGGTGTGTAGATCCAGGTGAGGGAGGTTAAGTGCAATATTCAAATGCTTTCTACTCATTCAGAGTGCATACCGCCTGTTGCTATCTTCTGAAGCATATTCATGGAGTCTGATACAGTTACTGCCTGTGTGGCAGTTTGCTTGGTGCCCATGCTAATGCTCTAGAAGCAGCAGTTATTTCCATGGTCATGCTTGAAATGGTTGTCTGGTAAGCGCCACTGTCCTCCTGTATTGTTTTCCTCCTTCTTTGTGCTGAGTATGCCAATACTGACGTTGATCCACGCTTCACGGATCCATCTGTGCCGATGATGATATCTGCTGAGTCTGAATCCTGATCTATCAGTTCCTTTACTTCTGTGTCTATGACCGCAGGAATTTGATCCCTGCAGTACCTTCCGAGTATGATGACAACCTTAGAAATGCCATGCATCTTTTCCGTGACTGATAACGTCTACGTCTACGTTTTTGCATGCACTTTACAACTCATGCTTTTGTGTTCTTTTATAATATTCATAATATGCAAATCATCATATGATCATAACATGCTTTATTAGTAAAATACAACTGCTGTGTGAAAGATGGTTGACTGGAAGGGCCTAATGTAAGACGGGCCTGCGTGCCCAATTTGTTACCCTTTGAAAATAAAGTTTGTTCGTTCGTTCGTTCATTCGTACGTCACATACCTGCTGGATTAAATCCTCAGCTTTTGTCTATTAATGATGGATCTGACCAGCAATGGTGGATATGTATTTCAATGATGGACGTGACTAGTAATGGTTGATGTAACTATCAATGTAACAAGCAGTGGTGGATGTGACTCACAATGGTAGATGTGACTAGCAATGTATCTAGCAAAAGGTGGGTGTGACTAGCAATGTATCTAGCAAAGGTAGATGTGACTAGCAATGTATCTAGCATGGTGGATGTGACTAGCAATGTATTTAGCAAAGGTGGGTGTGACTAGCAATGTATCTAGCAAGGTGGATGTGACTTGCAATGTATCTAGCAAAGGTAGATGTGACTTGCAATGTATGTAGCAATAGTGGATGTGACTAGAAATGGTGGATGTAACTAGTAGTGTGACAAGCAAGGAAACTAGCAGTGGGGGATGTGTCTATCAATTATGTATGTGACTACCTGTGGTGCATGTGACTAGCTGTGGTGATGTATCAAGCAATGTAACTAGGAATGGTGTTTATTTCAATCATGAGTATTTTGTTCTCCCACCCAACTCCAGTTTTTAATCTGATCATAGTTTTTCCTGTCTTACTTAAGCTGATGTGCAGATTGCTTCATCCCGGGATATTTTGTTACCTTCTATTGATAATACAATCATTGTTGTTCCTGTCGTACCTAAGATGATATAGACTGCTTCATTCTGGGATAGTTTATTAACTTCTATTGATAATACAATCACTGTTATTCCCGTCTTACAAAAGATGATGTAGACTGCTTCTTCCTGGGACAATTTGTTAACCTCTGTTGATAATTCATTGTTATTTCCATTTATACACGTTGCTATCACTTTTTATCTTTAAAAGTGCATCAAAGCTTTTAATGTTTGAGTAATTGAGACAATGTTTAAACAACACATCACCAACAAAGATCTTCTATATTATACTGTGTATCTCTGCCAGCCTTTCTCACACCTTTTTTTAATGTCTTGAGTTTTCTAAGAAAAGAAATGTGTTTACTATTGGTTTATTAAAATATTTGAAACCAAACAAGAAATATTCCAAAAGAAATATGCAGCAAACAAATACAAAATATTACCTGCTGGATACAGTTGGGCTCTGCTCCATGTTTGAGAAGCTGCAGACAGAAGCGTTCATTGTCTTCTGCAAGGTCACAAGCTACAGCAAACACATGATTACCCTCATGATCAACATTATTCACATCAGCACCATTAGCCAGCACTAGGTCCAGACATATTGCATGCCGCTCTGTAGGTGTCATGAGATAAAATAATATACCTGTGGAGTTAAACAATCCATGCTTTAGTTTTTAAGTAGGTTTGAACCTCAATTTTACTTCCAACTAGGGTTAAACATTGATTTTACTTCCCAATAGTGCTGAACCTCAGTTTTAATTCTCAGAAAGTAGGTAATACATTAACAGAGACAAAGTTTCCATGCCAACACTGGCATCCTGGGTGTTTGGTGCTAGAACCATTATTGTTAATTAATTAATTAATAACAAATAATGAGCGATGTGGTGAACATCATCTCCACTGCCCTTCACTTCCAAAAAGTTGCTTCCTCTTTTTTATGAGTGGGTTATCCCCAAAGCCACATGGTCTGTAAAACAAACAAAAGCACTTCAAGTGTGAGGACAGAAAATGACTCTAGGCAGAAAATGAACATACATGATAGGACAGAGAAACAGTGTACATGCATATACCTTTACCCTCCAGATGACATGGAGACAAACAGTGCACATGTTCATACCTTTACCCTCCAGATGATGTGAGAGACAACCAGTGTACATGTTTGTACCTTTACCCTCCAGATGACATGAGAGACAAACAGTGTTCATGTTCATACCTTTAGCCTCCAGATGATAAGGAAGTAAACACTGCACATGTTCATACCTTTACCCTCCAGATGACATGAGAGACAAATAGTGAACCTGTTCATACCTTTACCCTCCAGATAATATGAGAGACAGTTTACACATTCATGACTCTACCTTCCAGGTGATATGGAAACAGTGTACACGTTCATACCTTTACCCTCCAGATGATATGAGAGACAAGCAGTGTACATGTTCATAGCTTTACTCCCCGCCTCCCCCATATGATATGAGAGACTACATACATGTTTGTACCTCCCCCCCCCCTGATGATATAAGAGACAAAGAGTGAACATGTTCATACCTTTACCCTCCAGATCAGTCAGTGTCATGTCTGCCCCTGCAGAAAGCAATTTCTTCAAGCACTCGACATTGCCAAACTCTGCCGCCCAAATGGCTGCAGTTTTTCCTTTCAAGTCCATGACATCGGGATGAGCACCGAGGCCAAGCAAAAATTCCATCATGTCATCATCGTTTGCTTTTGCTGCTACGATGAGTGCAGTTAATCCTTCATCTGAGGCGTTGTAATTGATTAGATGGGGTGTACCATGTAGTATTAACTTCTGTACTTGCTTCTTATTTCGTTCTCTGATGCACTGCAACAACTTGCATACTTGCAACACTTGCAACCGAGCTTCCGCTTTAGGCATGATGTTTTAGTCTTTTAGTTTTAAAAGAAAGTGTAGCAGTTTATACAAGGTAACTAGGGATATCTTTTATAATTATAAGCTCCGTGATGTGTTATTATAACTTATAAACCATTATCAACTAGCATAGCTTCAGTAACTTTTCTGGGAATATTATGTTTTCAAATTGTCATCTTTTTAAAATAACTGGCTACTAATTGAATTTATATCCAACGTGTTAGTTAGTGACTGAGCCAAATACGTTTAGAACGAATGGTAAGATCTGTCTACTCTTGTTTATTGCTTTACAGAATAAATGCTGAATTTAAAGAGAAAAAAAAAAACTAGTTCTTAGAACACAATGTTTTACGTTCTGTTTTAAAAATAGGAGGCAGAGATGTTTGTGTCCTCCATTTTGTCACAATTTGTGTGACCATAGCAACGGGCAACCAACTAGGCGGAAACGGTGCTTTAATTATGGATGGGATGTGTTTCTGCAAACAGCAGTCCTTGTCACTAATTTAATGAAGCCAACAGTCCTTGTCAATAATTTAAACCAACTAACATGCCTGGGCAATAATTTAACATATCCAGTATACCTTGTCACACGGCCGACTCCATTTATAGGCCAACTAGGTCTACTGGGATTCCGGTTCTTGTGCAGATCATGATGCCGCTCTGTGTTCACAGTTTTTATGTACACAAATTAAACTACAGTTTCATTAGTGTAATGGGGGATATTTTCACCCAGATTAGGAAGGTTGGGGGGAAAGCCCAAGGTTAGTTAAAATACCGAGATATTCCAGATACTCAGATTAAACGAGGTTTTCAAGACAGGTGATGACCACGAATTATCACGTGTAACACGATGACACGACCACAGGTCGCCACGTGGACGTAAAGGACCACACGTGTTGCCACGTGAAACTAACCCGTGGTATAAATTGAGACTCCAGTCTGATCAAGTAAGAGAGCGGCGTCGGGGGCGGGCAGCGCAGACACAGAGCGAGAGGGTCAGTTGCCTCGTGAAGTACCTTATTATCGAGTGGGTTCGTTGCCTCGATATTAGCTCAGCGTGCGCTTGGGAGGAGAATCACAGGTTACCTCAGGTACTAGTATTGATTGCTGCTTGTTCGGCTTGATCTGCTAGACCTGAAAACTGTAGTGTTTTCAAATCTCGATTCGCACGCTGACTAAAAGTCAGTCAGTCAGTCGTTTCAGTCCGAATAATAGTGGGAGTTAGTAGCCTCACTTAAAACTACCTGCTACCAGATCCGAAGTGAGAGTTAGTAGCCTCACTCTAATCTACCAGCTACTGATACGTTGCCTCAGATTTAGCTCAGCGGTCGCTTGAGAGGAGGGTCACAGGTTGCCTCAGACACTGGTGTTGATCGCTGCTTTGTTCGGCTTGATCTGCCAGGTCTGAAAGCTGTAGTGGTCCCAAATCTTGAGTCGATACGCTGACTAAAAGTCCGTTGTCCCGGCACTAAGCCTTGTGTACTGCTTTGAACACCCTGGGAGGTCTACTTTTAAAAGTGGTCCTCCTAACCAAGCTTGTTGCTTAGCAGAGGACAAGCTTTTTGCGAAAGCTCAGACCGTTCGAAGACGACGCAGCCACCAAGAAGTCAGCAGAGTCCGGATCAAGATTTGTGAGTATAGTCTATACTAAAAACACTTCAAATCCTTGACTAGGGCTTAGCCAACATGAACCCTAAACCTGACAATATGACAATGACAAGAGCTCGCTCTCAAGAGCTGAAGTCAGGCGACACCAACCCGTCAAAAGGACCAGATGCCGGCATCCAAACACGCGTCTATCAAAACAGTGACCGTGAGCAATCAAAAGCCGTCTCGAGAAAGAAGGTAGCCACAACCGACAGCACAATACCCACTAAAACCAGTGCGCGTGGAAAGGAAGCATTGAAGCCGACTCCCACAAACACAATCTTACCAGAAATGCCAACCAGCCGTACCCCACCGGGAGAAGCTACAAATCAGCCTATAATAGCAGAAGCGCTTCCCCTGCAAGTACTTCCAAGCATTCCGGAAGAAAATACAAGCGGAGGAAAGCCAATCCTAACAATAAAAGTCAGAGTGACGCAACTTCAATTCAGCGCGGTATCCCTTCTCGCAAAAGGTATGAGGAAAACCCACCAAATCGACATTCTAGAGTCAGGGTTAGGGAACAGTTCAGTGGCATCGTTCTACCCCTGCAAACACCACGGTATGTTGACACTTAACGAAACCGCCAAAAATAGCGAACTTTTTAACAAAATCAAAAATTCGACAGAACCGGTGAAAGTCGACCTAAAAAACGACACCCGTTAAAGATACCACCAAGATTGTAGTCAAGGGCTTCGACCCTAAGCAAGATATCAATACAGTGGCCGACGACCTTAAAAAAGGAAACCCGGACGTCATTTTCATCAATATCAACAGACTATTGAAATCGTCAGGGGAAGCAACCTCCTTGCTTACGGTGACAATAGGGGGCAAAAGCCTCCCCGCCCACATCAACTACCAATACAAAAAACGGCACTGCGAAGCGTTTATACCGCCTCTCATCCAATGTCTGAATTGTTTAGGCTTCGGCCATAATCAAGGGCAGTGCCGGAGAAAAACTGTCTGCAAATTCTGCAGTAGAAATCACCATCACCGACAATGCCCTAAAGCCCTGGCCGCCGGTGACTATAAATCCGAGAATCCGGATAGGAGATGCGCCAACTGCGGCGGAAATCACAGTGCCAGATACAAAGGCTGCCCTACAATGAAGGAGGAGCAACTGGCACTGCGTGAGTCGATACTGGCAAATATTCCGCTAAAAATAGCCAAATTGAACATCACCAAATCTAGAAACCTGCCAGAAACCCAGTCAGACCTTAGAATCCTGAGAGCCGGTATGACAGGACTTGCTGCTTCAATAACTGACCCAAAAGAAGTAGATCGCACAGCCGCCACAGGGCCGACTGCCTACAACACCACCGAAGAGTACAAAAAACTCGAGGCAGACTTGAGAAGAGAGCTAAACACCATGAAAAAACAGCTTGCTACCGAAAGAGAGGCGAGGCTAAAAGCTGAGAAAATAGTTGCGGAGAGAACGACCCAGCTAAAAGAACTAGTCGAGAAAACGGTAACAAACTACAAATACCACGTCGAAAAACTAGAATGCCTGTATATGGCCCACCAAAAAACGAGAACTGAAGTAGACTCACTCAAATCCCGAAAACCGTCTCCCGCTTACCTTAAACAAGTGGGAAAGATAGAGATGGAAAAGTACGTCGAAAAAGCCAACCTAGGCACCACCGAATCGATTAAAAAAGCAGTCGAAAACTACTGCAATGTTGTCCTCCTGGAACAACTAACAGAAAAAGTCAAACAACAAGCCTGCGCCAAAACCCTGTCGGAAGAAGAAAGCTCGGATTCTAGTACAATAGAAAGCGACTCCTCCCTGAACGACAGCCAACCAGGCTCCAGCACTGAACAGTAACGACACAGTAGCCAGGCCCGAAACCGCACCCCCTAGAGTAACCAGACAATGACAGCAAACGTCACACGAAACAACTCTCCGGAGGCCAGCGCCAACACAGCGCTCAACAACAACACGGTCAACATATCGATAATACAATGGAACTGCAACGGCATTAGGAAAAACTTCCCCGACATACTCAAACAAACTGTTGGGGTCACAACCATATATGCGTTGCAGGAAACCAGGTTGAAACCGACAGATAAATTCAAGTGCCCCGGCTTCACAGTTCACAGAAATGACAGAATCACGGGAAAGGGGGGAGGAGGGGTAGCGATCCTGACCAGCGATCAACTCATTGTTCTGGAACACGTCAGTTTCAACACCGCGAACTGCGAAGGACAAATGGTCAGGATAGCTGGACTTCAACCTAACCAAAACCTGACAGTTGTTAATGTGTACTGCCCGACCGGTCGACTAGAAAAGCCAGATCTTGAATCAATAAAAGACAAGTTCAGCGAGCAAACACTGTTAGTCGGCGATCTAAACGTGCACCATCAAACTTGGAGCACGATAGAAGCCGACCGGGGCGGTCTCAACCTCATGGACTTCGTTGAGGAAAACGCGCTAACAATACTAAACGATGGATCCATTACAAGGATAAGCCCATTCCTTAGCAAGCGAGACACAGCAGTCGACCTGTCAATAGCCACAGCTGGGCTTTCGGGCTGCCATGGGTCAGTACTAAATGACACTAGTTCCGACCATCTCCCAATCCGGATAAGCACGAGGGCCCAAGCACAAGTGGACGAAGTAAGCAGACAGCCTTCGTTCAATTTCAACAAAGCAGACAAGGCGGCGTTCCAAGCAGATCTCAACTCCGTAACGTTCGACGAAACAGGCGAGGAAGATCTGGAACGCCGCACAGCTAAAATCACAAACACTATTCTGGAGGTGGCATGCAAACATATGCCACACAAAAATATGCCTAAACACATCACCAACAGGAGACAAAACAAACCTCCTCCACGCAAAGGGGGCAACATCAGAGCAGTAGGCTGATGAGATGCGAAATGTGAGTCCGCTATTGGAGAGAGACAAGCCGCTCTACAAAAGTATCGCAGATGTCGCTCCAACAAAAACTTACAAGAATTCAAAGACAAGCGAAATGCCGTAAACAGAGCCGTTAAAAAGGCAAAAGAAAACAGCTGGAAGACCTTCTGTCAGTCGCTCAATCCAAACACCCCCTCCAGCAAAGTCTGGGCGCAAATAAAATCCATCAAAGGGGATCGGAAGAGTAACAAAATTCCCACGATCAAGAACCCATCACTCGCCGTCACAGACAAAGAGAAGGCAGACACCTTTGGGCACCTATTCTACAGCGTCAGTTCCCACGAAAACCTCAGCGAAGGCGAAACGGCACGACGAAAAAAGTACATCGAGGAAGAAGCAGCAAAAAGGGAAGAGCCCACGACTAAGTATGACTACCTCAACGCAGACATTACGGTGGACGAAGTCGTCACCGCCATAAGGGAGAAATCCAACTCTGCTGCAGGAG